TTTGGATGGTTATTTCAGATTTGAATTAGGGTAGGAACGAACCCGCTCTGATATCATATTGAAAAGAAGTTTTTGTATATTGATATTGAATAAATTACATGAGTGAGTATTTATACAAGAAAGAATCGCTAAGAATGACTAAGCGATGACTAATCAATCCTATCACAATCCTAATCACAATCAATTCTAATCAATCACAATTAATCCTAATCAATCATAATCAATCCTAATCAATCATAATCAATCCTAATTAATAGGAAATAAAAACGGAAACATGTTTGAATTCTAATTTTCTACAAGAGGAAATATGCTTTGGATATTCTTGAAGAAACTGCTCTGTTGAATTCAAAGTCTGTTGATACTCCTATGGATCCAAGTATCAAGCTTCTACCAAATCAGGGGGGAGCCCTTTTCAGATCCTGAGCAGTATAGAAGATTGATTGGAAAATTGAACTACCTCACAGTCACTCGGCCTGATATTTCCTTTGCAGTTAGTGTTGTCAGTCAATTTCTCAATTCTCCATGTCAAGAACATTGGAATACAGTCATTCGTATTCTTAAGTATATCAAGGCATCTCCAGGAAAAAGGCCTTGAATATGAAGATAAAGGTCATGATAAAGTTGTTGGGTACTGTGATACTGATTGGGCTGGTTGTCCAGCTGATAGGAGATCTACTTCTGGATATTGTCTTTGTTGGAGGCAATTTGATTTCCTGAAAAGTAAGAAACAAAGCGTAGTTGCCAGATCAAGTGCTGAAGCAGAATACCGCTCCGTGGCGACTACTACCTGCGAGCTCATCTGGCTTAAACAGCTTCTCAGAGAGCTTAAGTTTGGAGACACTGGACAAGCAACTCTCATTTGTGATAATCAAGCAGCTCTACACGTTTCATCAAATCCAGTGTTTCATGAAAGAACCAAGCATATAGAAATAGATTGTTACTTTGTTCGAGAAAAGGTTCTTGCTGGTGAAATTAAAACTAGCTTTGTACCCTCTAATGAGTAATTAGCAGATGTGTTTACAAAATCTTTGAGGGGTCCTCGAATAGAGTTTATATGTAACAAGCTTGATGCATATGACCTATACGCTCCAGCTTGAGGGGGAGTGTTAGAAATAAATTGTAATTAGGGTTTCCTTATTTTGTATTAGGTCTGATTACATTAGGTTTGGGCTTAGCCCATTAGATTGTTTTTATATTGTACATCCTTCATCAGTTAATACACACAGTATTATTTTAATTGTTCCTCTCTTCTCTCTTTGCTCTCGTTATTTAACACGTGACATTACAAATACTTACGAACTCTAGTTGTAAGTGTTTGTTTGGGAGCAATTTTGAGATGTGTAATCTCTTGAAAAGTTTTTCAAAAAGTGTGTGAGTGAAGACAAATTACGTTGAAAAGTATTATATTGGTTTGTGGGGATGGTCATTAACCTTGCAAATTACATAGGGCACCTTGAAGATCAAAATTGTCCCATTCATGAACGAAACATGCGATAAAACAGCATTGGCCCTGGCCTCGTCTGCGGGGAGCAGTGTTATAAAAATCGAACCGGACCAATAGGTTCCAATCGAAAATCGATAAATTGGCCATGTGCCGGTTCGGGTAAAGTAATGGATCAGAAATGTAAGTGACTCGGTGTGAGCCGGAGTGAACCGGCCAATTTTACTAAAATCGATGACGTCGTCGGGTCAAAAATAAACAAAAAAAAAATCCTCCTTTTGGATGAAACTGAGACTCCTCTACACAGAAAGAAGCAAGATAACTAACATGACAAAGAAGAAGAAGAAGGAGGAGTCAAAGACGATGAAAAAGTAGTCGTATGAAGGAAGTGAGAGACGACGTCCATTGGAGAAAGAGAGATTGCAGTCCTCATCAAAATTCAGATCGGTCATAAAGAGCACAGTGATATCCTTCGATGGGCCTTTGAAGAGATATTGAAAGAGTGAAAATCGTCTTCTTTGAGCGCTGAAGAAAAAGAAACTGAGAGAAAGTTCTTTTGAGTTTCATTACCTTTTTTTTTTGAAACGTAAATGAAAAGAAAAGAAAAACACAAAATCTAGATTAGCTACAAAGTCTAGGCTAGCAGACTCAGCTTCGTTGCTTTCTATGCTCAGCCACTCATTTCTTATCTCCTTCTTTTTCAATTTTTTTATTTTTTGAATTTATAATTTTATATTTATACTATTTTCATTTTATTTATTCATTTATTTATTTGGTAAACTATTTTCACTCTCTTTATTATGACTTACATGGGTACAATATTTGTTTTTCTTTGTTTGATTTCGATCCGATAAATATTTATTTTTATGTCATAAATTTTTAAAAAAAATATTAAATATTAAATATAAATTTATATTTATTTATCCTGTTCAAGCGGTCCAATTCGTGACCCACCGGTTGAATTTTTGACCTAATACTCTAACCGGGCTGGTTCTGATAACATTGGTGGGGAGAAACTTGAGAATGAAACTCACAAATCTACTTGTATCTAGATATTGAGTGCTTGTGAAGAATTGATGAAATTGGCGTTCTTTGGTGTTGTATATATTGTTGGAAAAATTGAATAAATTAAGTGTAAGCGGAAATAAATAATTCAAAAAGTAATCAAGGCAACAACAAAAATAATTGGTACCAAGACTTTGAACATGGAAAACTAAATGTGAGAAAAGGGGGGACTTTTATCAGAGCCTACCTAAATCTTCACTATCACTGAATAATAATAATGGGTATACAATCACAATATTCTCTCTATATATAACAATGGAGGGATCAAATAACATCATCGAAAAGATAGAAATTAAGAGTAAGAACAATGAGTGAAGTCACTGATAACACTCCAAAGGGGAAAAATAGATTTGTGACTCGACAAACCTCCAAATCAAAAAGTGACCGCTGAATATGAAGTATCAGATAACACAAACACTCCCCTAAAATTTTGAACTCATTCTGACAAAGTTTCACCATCGAATTCGCTGAATAAGTCTTCTTTCTTTTTTCTCTCTTCATGATGCCATTGTTCCTCTAATTCTTTTATGTGACGCTGCACTTCCTTCTCTTCTTTAAAAAAGAATTAGATTAAAACATAATGTGGGCGATGGTCCGTGTCATGGACCCAACAAATCTCCCCTCCGTGACCGTGAAGGAGGAAGCCATGATTTAACTCTTCACTTGGAGTCCATATTTGCAAGCTTCTTACACAACTCAAACTTCTCTCGAGTAATAATTTTAGTCAACACGTCCAAGGCATTCATGTCGATGTGAATCTTCAACATCTCATCCTCTACTACTTCATGTATCTAGTGGTATCTCACATCAATATAATTTGTGTGAGAATGATAAGTTAAATTCTTGCTCAAGTCAATGACATTTTGATTATCATAAATTAAACCTAAATCTTGGAGCAATCTTTTCAACCATAGCATCTCTTTTCCAGTTTCTGTAGTGACAATGTACTCAACCTCAATTATAAATAATGCAATATATTTCTGTAATTTAAACTGTTAAGACACAACTCCCCAGGTAAAAGTAAACAAGTACCCGGAGGTAGACTTTCTACAATCAAGGTTACCCACTATATCATAATCTATGTACCCTTCCAAGATTGGATTTATGCCTCTAAAATATAAGTATAGCTTGGAGTTTCCTCCCAAGTATCTGAAGATACATTTCACAGTTTCCTAATGACCTATTCCTAGATTATTAAGAAACTTGCTCATCACACTAACTGCTAATGCTATATCATGTGTACAAATAATAACATAAATTAAACCTCCAATGGCAGATGAGAGAAAATATTTGACACGTCTTCTTTTTATTCCTTGGTAGGAGAACATGACTTCTTACTTAGTTTAAAGTTACTGACAAGAGGTGTGCAAACTGATTTAACACCTTGCATGTTGAACCATAAAGCACTCATTCAACATATTTTTCGTGTGACAACCATACATTCTTAGCCTTCCTGTCACGAATAATTTGCATGCCCAAAATTTGCCTAGTTGGCCCTAAGTCTTTTATGCAAAAGGACTTGAGTAACTACTCTTTCAATTTTCTAATCATATCAGCATGTTACCCAATAATTAACAATCATCAACATAAAACATAGAAATAATGAATTTACCACCAAGGAACTTGCTGAGATATACATAAGGATCTGCATGAATTCTTTTATATCCAAGATCTATCATGAGTGAATGAAACTTTTTATACCACTGTCGTGGTGTTTGCTTCAACCCATACAGTTTTTTCTTCAATATGCAAACATTATGCTCCTTTTCTTTAACTTTAAAACCTTCACGTTGTATTATATATATTTTTTTCATCTAAATCATCATAAAGAAATGGAGTCTTTACACCTAAACGCTCAACCTCAAAATTCAAACTATATAGCTGCTAAACCCGAAATTGCTCGAATGAATATCATCTTCACACATGGAGAGAAGATCTAATCAAAGTCAATTCCCTGGCTACCAGACAATCCAAGTCCCCTGCACTACCAGACAAATCCGATGACTTGGACTGAGTTATTTTTCTTCGAGAAAATTCCTAGTTTCCTCCTGCCCCTTGCGCAGAACTTGGATTGAAGAAAATCCACAATCATTCTGTCATTTAATTTTACTTGTTAAAATCTGTCCGTATTTAGATAATAATAAAGACCAAAGTGTTTTCACGTTCTGTTCGAGAGCGAATCAGTCATATAAAACAGCTGTTTCGAAAGTTGGGGGAAAATGCCTTTCTGTTCTAGGAAACAGAATAAACAAGTCCACGAGCTTAAAATTTCCCTAGAAAGCGTGGTAAAAGCTACAAAACAACGTTTTCCATGGTTACATGAATGTCGCTTTTAGAAACAGAAAATCATATTGACTAAGGGCGTGGCATATAAGTTCCAGGAATTTTAATTGCACTTTTAAAATTAAACCCAACAACCACGAAAAGAGGAGAGTACTATATAAATACACATCACATCTCTTGTATATACTTGCTTCTCCCATTCTCAGGAAATGATTTCCCTTGGATTTTCTCACATATCATTGAAGAAAATGGTAGAGCCTAGAGCAAATAAGGTTGTTGAGCAAACACAGATTTGTCCAACAGCACCCTCTGATCGTAGAAGAAGCAGAACCTTATCTCTTCCCCTCACATTTCTTGACTTGCCTTTGGCAGGTCCAATTTATGTTAGACGCCAATTTTTCTATCATTTTCCTCACACCACTCACCATTTCTCCGAAACAACACTCCCTACTCTCAAACGTTCTCTCTCTCTCACCCTTCAACATTTCTTCCCTCTCGCTGGAAATCTCCTCTGTCCACCACCACCCAACAAGCCCTTCATTCTCTGCAATGATGATGACTCTGTCACCTTAACCATCATCGAGTCTTCAGGGGATTTCAAGCATCTCTCAGCCAACCACCCCAAGAGTCTCAAAGACTTGGATCACCTTGTTCCAAAGTTGACTTTCACAACCATGCATGATGACACTTTCATCTTCCCATTATTGGCTTTGCAAGCCTCGGTTTTCCCCAACCATGGCATCTGCATCGCCATCACGTATTGCCACGTGATGGATGATAGTTGTTGCAGTCATTTCATGAAGTCTTGGTCTTCCATTTGTCGAACCAATGGAGTTGACCTCACATTTCTTGAGAATTCACCACCGTGCTTTGATAGGGAAGTGTTGAAAGACCCCAATGGACTCGAGGCCATTTTCTTAAGAGATTACTTTGAAGCAAGATCAACTTGGAAGGACAAACTCATTGGTCAAAGTGGTGGTGATGAGGACTATGTTAAAGCAACGATTGTGTTTGGTAGAGAAGACATCGAGGGGATGAAAAGATGGGTACTCAATCATTGGAAGAAGAGCGATAAATTCAACACGCCGCAATATCTATCAAAATTTGTCGTGACGTGTGCTTTTGTGTGGTCTAGCTTGGTTAAAACAAGATATAGAGATGATGATGAAAATGAAGAGATCAAAGAGGAGTACTTTCGTTTTGCAGCAGATTGTAGAGATCGCCTTGAGTACCTTATACCCGAGACTTACTTTGGGAACTGCTTAACGTTGTGTCATGCAACGCTTAAGAGAAAGGACCTCAAGGGAGAAGATGGTTTTGTGAATGCTGTTAAGGTCATTGAAAGGGAAGTAACTGATATGAAAAATGAACCCTTTAAAGATGCAGAAAACTGGAGGGCATCTTTTACAAAGATGTTTGTGTTGGGAAGTACGTTGCTAGTTACAGGGTCACCGAAGTTTACTGTTTATGAGACTGACTTTGGATTTGGAAGACCTACTAAAGTGGAGATGGTTCATTCATTCAAGGGTATGTCTCTTGCTGAAAGTGGAGACAAAGAAGGAGGACTTGAGGTTGGCTTGGTATTTAGGACCACGGAATTTGAATATTTCAATTCTATCATTGAACAAGGACTCGAAGCTTTAAGATCCTAAATGTATATGTGCGATTTATTTGGAAATCAAAGTCTAGCTATATCCAAAATATAATATTGGATGGAAAATGCTACTCATAGTCTTAAGAAAGACGCTTGCAACGTGGGTTTTTTATTAATAAATTATGGTTGATTATAATTTCCCCTACTGTGGTAGATTATTATATTTTAAATTTGGATAATAGTTTTCTAACTTAGTAGGAGATAATAATTATTATCTCTACAGACTCATTTATACAGATAGAGTCCACTTTTAGGGGAAAGAAAAATAATAAAGTGAGACTCATTTTAAATTTGAATTTATGTATAGAAGATAATTTTTTTTTATGTAATATAAGAATAATAAATTTCTTTAAATATATCTACAAGTTCTAGGTGGTAACGAACTTGTTATTCAATTTCAAACCCAACCACTCTGTACATCAAACCCAACCACCCATCCGAATAACGACAAAAACATGGCCCATGATTTCATAACTTAAAGATTTGAATAATGGCCACTCGAAATTGCATATGCGAAGGTTATACTTATCACAATTTTAGATTTATACTTCCTACCTAACAAGCATGGGCACGCAAGTTTTTAGAAAAATTTACATGTCAGACACAGACATGCTCTGACACGCGCTCAACATTTGGGGACACGCGATCAACTCTCTCACACGTTTCGACACGTTTTTCCGACACACAGTCAACTTTTTCTGACACGCGGTCAACGCTCCGACACATTTTTTTTAAATCTTAATTTATTTTGTTAACTAAATATAAAAGAAATAATTTATAAATTAATTTTTTCTGTTATGAAATTTGACATGAAAAATTAACAAAGTACGAAAAATTATTTATATTTATGTTATGAAATTTAAATATTTGATTGGTTATATAACTTATTATGGACTCTTATATGTATTAAATATAAATTATATTATATATTAAAAATTTTATTTAATATCAAAACGTGTCCCAACGTGTCGAAATATGACATTTTTTAGAATTAACGTGTCGTGTCGTGTCTGTGTTCGTGCATCATAGGTTCTTACTATCTAATTATTTACAATTGGATTGATTTAAAATCAATGGCAATTAAGTTTTTCTATGTTTTAACCGTTGATTTTAAATTGATCTAATGATAACCAATCAAGTAATAAGAATGGCAAACCTAAAATGATTATAAGTATAACCGTGCCCTTAATTTATAGTAATTTAAAAAATATTTTTTATTTTAAAAAATTACATAGATATGCATATTTTATAAAATGAAGAAGGAAAGAGCATTATTAAAGAATAATAATAGGGAAAAGTTTAAAACCTCCCTATGATTTTCTTTAGAATCACTTATCACCCTATGTTTTTTTTTTCATTTTTCCACTTATATTTTTCCATAGTCCACCTTCTAATTCTGTTAAAAATTAAATTAAACTATCAATTTTACCCTTGTAAAAAGAATCATTGTAGAAATAAAAAATTTATACTATAATGTTATTTTTTTATTCAACTTTGATTGTTTTATAAATTTCGATTTTAGCAACTAATTTCGATCTTCCAATAAGATAATATTTACAATATTGTTAGCAAGAATGAACACTTAATTTAGAACTATTATTTTTCTTTAATAAAATTGACTTGACTTGAGTTTGATAAATGTATTAATATCTTAAATTTAATAAATAAAATAAACATTATTTAAGTAATCAATTTATATGTAAATATATTTTTATTCTTGGTTCAAAAATTAAAATGAAAAAAATGTGAGCCAAATATAGGTAATAGAGAAAATAAAAATGTTGGAAAAATACTAACATATTAAGGAGTAGATTAGTCTATTGATGCATAGTACTCACCAAGATTACTCTCAGGGGGCGTTTGGTTCAGGTTTTCTGATCAGATACCCATGCAAACTGAATTGGCATTATGTTGACCACGTTTGGTTCAGGGTATTTAAAAATTTAACAAGCAAACTGAATTGGCCATCCTTTATCAGTTATTTGGAAAAACAGACGGCAAACACAGAGGAAAAAAGCCACTCCGAATGTGGTATTGTTTAGACGACCGGCTAAACGGATAAAAGAAAACAAGGACGTGACTAAAATACCCTTTTCTAACCTAACCTCAGAATGCACATCTCTACCAAGGTCATTTTCATTTTCTCCGTTGCGAGAAGGTATCGAAGCTCATTTTCCCTTCTTCCTTGCACACATCTGTGCATGTTGTGAGTAACCCACTCTCCGTTGCGTAGAAAGTTCCTTGATATTGTCAGGTGCTCTAATAAATTTCACCTACCGTGGTTTGCAAAATCAGGACATGCAACTTTTCACAACTTCTAGGAATAAGTAAAGGATAAGTTATAGGCAGAGGAGTTGATTTGGTTTAGTGTATATGGTTGCTAATTGTTTATATTTTGCAGGTGGATTTGGGAGGGGGTACAAAGGAAGCTTGGGAAATGGTACCTTAGTTGCAATGAAAAAACTTTAAAGGGTTTTGCCCCATGGAGAGAAAGAATTTATCACTGAAGTAAACACCACTGGCTCAATGCATCATATGAATTTGGTTCGCCTCTTTGCTATTGTTCAAAGGGATCACACCAGTATGCACTGTTTCTTGACCAAGAATTAAAAAGGGGTTACTGATGAGTCTCCGATTTACTATGTATTAAGGGTCAATATGAGTGTGAAACTGATTTAAAAGTAATTAAAAAAATGAGAATTATAATTAAATTGTTATTTTATTCTCAATAATATTCTCATAAGATTTCTGATATTTTGCAGTAATTTCAGCTCAATAAAGAGATAAATTGGAGATATCAAGTAGAGTTGCTTTGGATTTCTGAATCATTGAAGATCTTATCAAATCTTCGTTTGAATATTTTTAAGGAAAGTTTTCCATTAAATTAAAAAGAGGAAGATTTGAAGGATTTGGTCAAAGATATGATTAGAAGATGTGAAGGATTGATTCAAAGATATGATTAAAGATTCTATTGAAGATTTGATCAAGATTTCTAAGCAAGGCATAAACTCTATAAATAGAGACCCAGACCTCATAGCAAACAATCTTTGGCTAGAGAGAATTCTTGGAGGCTCACGCTGGAGATCCTTCATCTTCTTCTTCTTTTCCTTTATTGTTTTCATGAATACTTTTTATTTCTTTAATTTGTTAAAGCCAGCTATGTTTGGCTAGTTTGTTTTTGTAGTTGGGATCATGGACCCAATGTGAATCCTTTATAATTTCTGTATTGATATTTTATAAGTTAATTAGTTAGTTTGTTTTATTCTACCTGGTTTAATTTTTCATATCCTGTTTAGAACTGATCACTCTAAATTATAGGGCTTTGAGGGTTAGGACTCACAATAGACATATTGGGGTTTTAGTCTGGACAAGGGTAGAATAACAATTTGAGTATGATCTAGACATAGGCTTACATAAATTGCAGACTCATAATTAATTTGCTTAATGCCTAATTCAAGAGGAATTACTAAGACATTATAATTCTAATTGGGTTAAAGGGTTGAAATCACTAAGACATTGGGGTTCAACTATTTTATAGGGAAATAATGAATTGTCTGAGCAAACCAATTAATTAATTATAAAATACAATATGGGAATATAAGGGAGGATCGGAGGTGAAGTGCATCCTGGCTACATCCTTTTTATAATTTTTCACAACTCTCATAAATTCTTGATATTTCTTGGTCTCTTCTTGCATGTTTTTAATATTATTGTTTTTAATTTACATCAACCAATTTCAAATACTTTCTCAAACCAAACCAATTTTATTTTCCAACTTAAGGGGAATAGTTAAACTAGTACTTGATGCATTAATCCTCGTGGGAACGATACTCTACTTATCACTTTATTACTTGAAACGAACGGTATACTTGCCGATTCCGCAACAGTTACTTTCGTAAATTTATACCACTTTTCCATCAATATTTTATCCTCTACCAATCATAGACTTACAAAACTTTAATCAATTTATCCAGTAATATTCCGTTCAACAAAAAAACTTTTTTTCAACTTTACTAGCAAACTTACTTTCCCACAATTTCCCCAGTAATTATATTTACCTGGTAAAAAAAAATTGTCCTCTACCAAATGCCCCCTCAAAGCTATGAGCAAATACGCGCAGATGAAAAGCGAATTGACCATGACTAAAACAAGAAAATCTAAAATAAATAAATAAATGAGGAGCCAATTGAGTTAAAATAAAAAGAATTCAATTTAAGTTAAATTCTACATATTTTGATGGAGTTAAGTGTTTGAACATGTAATATATGTTTGATTATTTGCCTTAGTATTGTAATAGATTAACAATGCACAGCATGAAAGGTATCTTACCTTTCATGGCAATCAAAGTACATCTGGAAAAAACATATGATAGATTAAGCTGGGATTTCATGAAGAGAACGATGAATGAGCTGCAATTTTCGGAGAAGCTGATCCACATCATTATATTTACATTATCTTCAACAAAATTCAATATTCTCTGAAATGGGGTGATGTCTGAAGAATTCCAACCTTCCCATGGAGTTCGTCAAGGGGATTCGTTATCGCCTTATTTATTTGTGCTAGGAATGGAAAAATTCAGCCATATAGTTAACACTGTTGTTGGTGGGGGCTTATGGAAACTGATTCAAGCTAAGGTTGGAGGGCCTCCAATATCTCATTTTCTATTTGCAGACGATCTAATGCTTTTTGCGGAAGCTAGCCCACAACAAATTCAAACTGTACTAAAATGCTTTAATCTTTTTGAAGAAATCTCTGGATAAAAAGTTAGTCATCAAAAGAATAGCATTTTTTCTCAAAAAATACTCCTGAGAATGTGGCTAAAGAGATCACTAGTGCTTGTGGTTTCGAAAGAGTCTGAAATGTAGGGAGGCATTTAGCAGTTTGGATGAAACATGACAGAGTTTCAAAAGAGGCATATACTAATATAGTGGTGAAGGTGCAGATAGATTAAATGGATGGCAATCGAAGTGTTTATCACAAGAAGTAGGATAACCCTCAACCAATCTGTTCTTGCCACGATTCCTTATTATCAAATGCAATGTGATAAATTACCTCTGTCAATTTGTCATGATCTTGAGAAAATGCAAAGGCGTTTTATATAGGGTGATAAGGATAATAAAAAAGAAGCTTCGCTTGAT